TACTGCTCCATTTATCTACTTGAAGATAAAAATGAGCGCGATTTATCGCTCGTATTTTGTAGTCAAGCGGAATTGTTACCTGTACACCTCATTATATGGCTCCCTATAAACAACGGCAAAAATGCGTATTTCCCTTGGTAGCCATCTTTCATCGTTTTTATTGTGTGTCTGCATCTCTCTCTCTTTCCCTGTAAATGTGTGTTTGTTTAATTTAACTTATGTGTCATTCCCCATTTCTGTTCGACGTCCATTTAAACAATCGATCTCGCTGCAGATGGAGCTGATCCATCGCAAACGCCAAACACATGGTTCCGTCAAACATGGTGATGCAATCACAGTTGATCTCATGTGGCAGTGAGCGTTGGGAAAAATAGAGAGACAGGAATGTGGCAGAAACAGAAGCAGCAAATTACGACCTAAGTGATTGTGAGGTGATGGCAAAAACTCATGTATGCACAAGGGTATAAACCAAGTGACGTTTGTCTCCCCGGTAGAAAGGTTTGGCATTGATGTTGTTCTTTTCAGCCACGAAGATATAAACATTTAATCCAGCTTTTATTCTAAATTAATACCATCATGTTCAACAGACATTACCAACTCCTTATACCACAGACTTCCGCTCTTAGAGGAGTATAAGAGGAAGTATACGCGGTGAGACAAAAACAACTACGGCCTTCACATCCATAATATGTATTTAATTTGTTTAGTACTATAGCGTATTTTTCTTTGAATAAACCATGTACAGCGCATCAAATCATGATTTTTGTCATAATTAACAATAAAATGTATCCAGAAGGGTACTTGAGATACACAACGAGCAACCGCACTTCATAACGAAAATCACTCCACCAACACATGAAAAGCCACTTAGGGGCTAAAGGAAGATCACACACCACCCATTCATGATTCCCCATAAATAGTCAATGTATTTTCTTCCCAATGTTAAATAATGCGCGCACCTAACCGCGGCAAACAAATGTCATCGACTCCTTAATCACCAAATTCCACTGTCGTCATTTTAACGGTACTATATAATACAAAAACCCGGAACACTCTATCTCCTCAGCAAATGCTTGAAAAACTGTAATTTAAAAGGGAATTATCAAACATTTACTCACATTTTAGTCCAAATAAATTTAACAGCCATTCATGCCAATATTCCTTACCATTTGCGCACAGGCATTCCAAAGACTTTATTGTGCCCTTCTCCTTATCCATTATCACAATTAATTTTGGCTGTAAAGGAACACACTATAACGCCCAAGTGAATCCAAAAAGTCAATTTTTGTTTAAAAAATGCGCGCAAAACTAGCGTTTCACTATTTGCAGTGCCAAAGTTGCAATTGCGTAAGTGATTGATGTAACTTTGTCTCTGGGTTTCCATCGGTGACATTTGGGCATGAATTAAAGTTAGTTGACATTTGTGCAATACTTCAGCATGTACCAACAAGCATGAAGTTGTGACGTCAATCTATCGTAAATTCTCTTTCTTCCTTAATCACGCTGCCCATCTCAATTGAAATATGACCAACGGGTTCCTACATATTTTCATAGCACAGGACGGCAGCAGTGCAAAATTTTACGTGTTTTTCCATGAAGGAGAGGAGCTACTAATTGTTTAATCTTACAATCTCGACGATACTGCTAGACATATTGCAGCCACTTCCATGGGTACAAAGCCCTTATAATTTACTTAGCTAATTGGCATATTCATCATATCTACTCATCAAATAATCACTTAATCACAATTCACAAAAAACTGAATTAGAGAGAACGCCGGTGGGGTTGTCACATCCTTGAAAATTTTCCGTGATCATCTGCACATATGCCAGAAGAACTAAACCTGTGTAGAAAACTCCTTTGTTAACTTATTCCGTGTTTTAAGCCGATGTTGAAATAAAGGTGAGGTGGATTCTGACATTGCATTGTCATGCATCCCCGTCAGTGTCTCTGCTGGGTGTAGCCAAAATCTAAAACTCATCAATACCCAATGTCAGGTGTTTCTTATGTTTACTGGAGAGAAATAGGTAACTTGATTCCCAAACTTCACGTAGACATTCCTTTCCTAATCTCAAGTTTTTACAAGCATTATCTCTAGAATAAGGTCAGTTTTATTTTGAAGTTTACTGTAACGAAACGGAACTCTTATTCATCTATTGTGGAAATGCACACTACAAAGGGCTTAGCTAGCAGTCGGCCATCTTGTTATTAAATTTATTTCCTTTTCTTGAAAGAGCCTCAAGTGCGCAGTTACCTTCATGAAGACTGTTTTTTTACAAGGCACTGGTTACTGTGACAAATCAGCATACCGTGTCCTTTTATTGAAGCTCTGGGCACTAAATTTTGTGGTTTTTGCGTAATTTATCACCAGTCAATCAGTAGAGCGATTCCCAGCGCTTAAGCGGTATGACTGGCCGAGGAGATAGTGTTAGTGCTTGATGGTATTTGATGGCATGCCTTCATTAGCATTTGAGAGTATGTGAAAATATCCTCAACGGTGGCATAAAATAAAACAACGTGGGACTTTTAGCTATGCTGGTTTCTGATACTCAAAAGGAAAACAATAAGAGGGAAATGGAACTAGGGCTTTGAAAATACATTACTAGGTGAGATCAAGTTATGAATGTTAAAAGCTATTTTTGGCTAGAATCGCAATAATGTTTTAAAAAACACATGCAGACTAGTAAAATTTAAAAAATGCTTGCTAAGATCGAAGTTTTGCAGGTATTGCACCTTGCGTAATATCGCAGAGATCTTCACCGCTCTCCCTATGGAGCTGTCAACTCGATCCTTATATATCATCTTTGCAAATCCCAATTTGTCAAATATCGTCTGCTATGACAACAGAAATACGGGTCATCGTAGCAAACAATGAAGGAAATGATTTAAAATTATTTTACGCAAATTCCTTATAAAGTGTATTTTAAACATCTGGAAATAAACGTTTTTCATATTCAAGAAAGTCGCGCCAACTAATATAGGAATCGGCGTGTTACTGGGATCCATTTTATCCAGGAAATGCAATTTAGTGAATGATTGGATCAAACTCCGAGTTCCAAAATGAAGCGCAACGAGTTAAATTCTACTAAATCTCCTAGTGCTGCCGGATATTTTATTCCTCCTCTGCCTTTGTCAACCGTCTTGCCGTCATCAGTCGCAACTTACTCGCTTTTCCTATCGCTGCGGTCTCTGCAGTAGTTCAACGCAGGACCATCTTGCAAGGAATTATTGTCTTTCCCCTCATCAGGGACTGCAAACGGATTGCTCTCTTCTACGACATGCGTACCACCGACTTTGACATTCCCGAGACGTTGGCTACAGTTCCATTAACGCTTCCCATTTCACAAAAAAGGCAAAAAGTATTTCATTTGTTAACTAGTGAAGGTATCACATTGACGATAACTTTACGAGTCTATTAGAGCCATCAGGATATCATGTCGGTAGTGAACAATGATTCGTCAAATGCTAGAGCAGATTGTCCTGGTAATTCTATTTACAAATCTTCCACTTTAGTAGCATTGATACTAGAAAGTCCATCATTCAAAACTTGACCAGAATTAAACATGGGGCGATTGCACTCATTCAGGTGATCCCAATGGATATGCTTAGTTACCACGCTTAAGTGCATGAAGATCACTGTTATCACAATTTGGACACACATTGGGTGCCAATCGGTCGGGCATCACTCCCACTACACATCCTAGGCAATGCATGTACTGAGGGGATTAAATAGCATACAAGGCGGCAATCCAAACCTCTTCACCATCATTTTACATGTGATCTATACGAGAGACTTTAGTTGTACATTCACTAGACGAATGTGCCCCTATTGGCGACAGTGATCTCATATTGTTGTTATAGTCTTCATCACCACCCTGACTTATATTTTAAACCCACTCACTAGAACTGACTACTAATTGAGCTGTTTTCTGTCCCTTGTCATGGCAAATTCTTATGTGCAAAGTTGTTGGATAATTGCCGAAACATGCCTTATAAAGGAACACAAATATAGAAATTTCAAAATAAATCAGAAGGGGTGAAAAC